AAAGTGTAACCCTTCTCAGAATATTAGATCAGGCTCACTTCTTTATATGAGACCCACAAGTTGGTCCTGAATCTGTGAGGACTTTCATGGTCATTAGAGACTCTTTGAATTCGCAGAAATACTCGTATTCTGAGTGTTGAATTTCATTAAGAATAGAGTAAGTATCCTTTTGGCACTTTTTGGAGGACTATTGCACGGGAAAATGGCACGACAATGAGGGTTGAGAAGTCAAGGCCTATTCTAATCCTCTGAACTATATAAACAAAATTGGCGTCAGTGAGTGATCTCCATTGCTAGTTCAAAATGCAATTGTTTCGCTTTCACATCATTCTCTTTCTACTCACCACCTTCATGATCGACATCTCATTCCCTCAGAGAGGTGGTAAGCCAACATTCAGCAGTGAACCTCATTTCCGTCGAAAGCTCAATTTCGATCTCATTCACTATTTGGTTCTTTTGCATTTACAGGTTACAGGGTGGAAATAACAGATCCAATAACTATCCAGTGGGATTCTCAAATTCTCAAATCCCGTGATGTTAAGAATGTTACTTGTTTTGCCACGAGGAGATAAGACAATTCATTAACACCATTTTCTTCATATTTTCTCTCAGGTAGTGGGCTACGTGGCACTAGTGGAATTCCCATATGAAGTGATAAAATTCCATTAATTTGGTTGGAGCCACTTATTGACGATTGGGTTCTTCATCCAATGAATTTATCCTGCCGTAAAACTAGAGACAATGCCACGATTTTTACTCGAGTGTTGGAAAATACTAAAACAAATTGCACTGTGGAGAAGTTGGAAGACGACACAGACTACACGTGCACTATCGTTACTACCATTAGTCTATTGAATATATATTGATATTGTGACGTGCTATAAAGCAGATATTTGAAACTGTCACACTCCGAATTTATTGCCATATTTCAAGGTAATTAACTAAATAACTGTTGCTTAATCAATGACCTTCATTATCTTACGGTCAAAGTATTTATTTCAAATGGCAGGCTTTGTGATATTTATCATTTGACTTCAGCTTCCCCCAAGAGGGGGGGGGTACATTTAAAGCAGTTAATTAATAGCAGTTCATTAGCAGTCTTCTTGCTTACCTTAATCTTTGACTTCAGCTTCCCCAAGAGGGGGGGGGGGTACATTTATAGCGGTTATTAATAGCAGTTCATTAGCCATCTTCTTGCTTCCCAGTATCTTGGCTTTCCGTCGTTGTCTTTAGGACTGGACACCGAATCAGGTGCGTCGTTGTCTTTAGGGCTGGACACCGAATCAGGTGGGTCTATAGTAGCTGTCTTCTTGCTTCCCAGTATCTCTGGCTTTCCGGAGTAGCTGTCTTCTTGCTTCCCAGTATCTTGGCTTTCCGTCGTTGTCTTTAGGACTGGACACCGAATCAGGTGTCCTATCGTTGTCTTTAGGGCTGGACACCGAATCAGGGGGGGCTGTCCTTGTCTTTAGAGCTGGACACCGAATCAGGTGGGTCTGCGTTGTCTTTAGAGCTGGACACCGAATCAGGTGGGTCATCACCATTTCCTCCGCTAGACACCGAATCAGGTGGGTCTTCTCCATTTCCTCCTTTGAACACCGAATCAGGTGGGTCTTCTCCATTTTCTCCTGTAGAGAATCAGATGGGTCTTCTCCATTTCCTCCTGTAGGTTTCACATCAGGTGGGTCTTCTCCATTTCCTCCTGTAGGTTACAGATCAGATGGGTCTTCTCCATTTCCTCATGTAGGTTACATATGGTGGGTCTTCTCCGTTTCCTCCTGTAGGTCACATAGACAGGTGGGACTTCTCCATTTCCTCCTGTAGGTTACATAGAGTATATGTGGGTTGAGTGTATACTCTCAATCTGTGAAGGTGTTTTGATTGAGTGTATACTCCTAATCTGTGAAGGTGCTTCGCCAGGCGGTCGTGTCCGGCATATAGTCTAAACTCAGAAACAGCTTTTCGATTCTTGGCCAGTCGGCTATGTGATGTTTCTCCTTTGTTCGAGCTTTAATTTCGTTGCCTTCTCCTTTGTTCGAGCTTTAAGTTCGTTGCACCTTGACTCTCTTGTTCGAGCTTTAAGTTCGTTGCACCTTGAGGTCTTGAATCCTCTCCTGATTAAGGCCTTCATTGTTTGGAAAGACATCGGCCGGTCCATGCCTTGCAANATCGTATCCGGTACGTAGTCAAAACTCAGCAACGGCTTCGATTCTTGGCCAGTCGGGTATGTCGGAGAGTGCCACTGCCCACTGTTTCTTCTTTGTTCGAGCTTTAAGTTCGTTGCACCTTGAGGTCTTGAATCCTCTTCTGATTAAGGCCTTCATTGTGTGGAAAGACATCGGCCGGTCCATGCATTACAAAATCATGGAGCTTTGAATATTTTCTTTTTTAACACTGAACTCAAAATGATGATTTCAGGCTGTCATAATTTATCGATTCCCTCAGAACGAGTGAGTTTATTCGTGTGCTATTTGAAAAACCATGAAAGTCCTTCAAAGAAGAAGGATTGGATTTCCGGCGAAACTATGACTTATGACATTTCAGCTCCTTGCATTTTATAAAACCCAAAGCGTTCATTAATTGGTCAACTGGATTTCAAATAGTCTTCATGTTTCTGGAAAAGTGATTTCTCTAACAATTCTAAAGTATGGTCAACTCTCAATTTTATAAATTATAATTTAATTTTAATCAGCCGCTAATGCTTTTTCTAATAATATTAAAAAAATGTGGGCCTTTCAATTCAACTGGGTGTTTCCAGACAGGGTCATGAGTTGACCTCGGACCTTACATTATGGTGTGTCTTTACTCAGGATAACTGTCGTGGTAATCTGACTCTGGTGCACGTGGACTCATGCAACAATAAAGCATTTTAATAAGTGTACTCAAGTCAAT